TACTGTAGCTATAACCTAATTCATTATCACTACAGAATAGAATCACTTTATATGAAAAGACCTAATCCAAAACAGGTATGACAAAAAATACCAACTTGTCAAGAAGAGAACTAACATATAAAATCAATATAAAGTATCTTTAGGAACTTTGCAATATTTTAAAAACACTAAAATATATAATTCTAGAAAGGGGTAAAGATCATTAATTGGTCCTACCAAGAAATTTTTTACATCTAGAATGGCAGTTCAGTCATAAAAACGATCACACAACTACTTCAAGGTTGACATTTATCCAGAACTCAAGAAAAGTATACTTAAGCAACTTACTAAACCTATGAACAAAATGTTCTCTGAAACTGGTCCTTTGCAGAATAGTTAAAAAAAAAAAAAAAAACAAAACTAGTATTACTCCGTATCTGAATAGTTAAAATATATTAATAATAATAATTATGACATTATGATGATTCCTAGCATTAGCAGAGGGAATAGACTTCAACTGACCACATTTTATTAATGAAAAATATACACAAACACAGAACTGGTTATTCAACAAGCCACTGTAAATAAGAGCTATAAATCAGGGGTTTTTGACTACCAATCTTTCTACTTAGTTAAAATGTAAACTCATCATTATTTTAATCTTCCTTCAGTTTTGATAGTTGTTAATTTTAAAAGTTTTTTTTTTTAAAGGCACCACTTTCATTTTTTTCTTCTTCTTGGATAATTTGCTGCTTCTCATTTCTCTAAAATCCATTAAGTGGGTTCTCATTTTAAAAACATCATTAAGTGGGTTCACATTTTAAAAATCCACATGAATCATCAATTTGAAAATCTACTCTAGGATATACAAATCAAAATGTTCTCTAAATATAACACAGCTCACTTCTTAAATTATATTTCTAAAAAACAAGGCATTTGTCAAAATCAATTTTCTAATATATCTCTTGCCATTGTCTGGGTTTCTCTAACATCAAAACAAATATAGAGACGGTGGGTTTGATTCCCAGTTTCAACAATATGAAAGAATAATATAAAGTAAGAAACCTCTCACAATGAACAGCTAACATGTGAAGAGTAAAATACTTGTAACTTGTTAGGAAAATATAAGTGTTGCAAAAGATAAATGTGCAATCAAAAATTAGAATCCAATAAAAAACTAAAGTCAATTTTTACAACAAACAACAGGAATATAATAACCAGATATTCAGTTAACCAAATATTGGAAATTAAATAAATAATTCAAAATGAAGTAATGATATAAAAACATAAATTGAGGGATTAAAACACAAAGAACAAAACATTATTTATTACCCTACCTGTAGTAAACCTTGTATTGGATAGAGGCATTCTTTCCCCTTTATTCACCTTTTCCATACTCAAGAGGTTTTATAAGTTAGATATATAAAACCTGCTGAGGGGAGCAGCGGGCACGGCAGGAGAGGACTGTCGTGCCATGTGGGACCCTCGCTGGCGGCCGGGGATTGAACCAGTGCTGCAGAGGCTGCGGGCAGCTTCCCAGCCCAGTGCTCAACTACTGTGCCACCAGGGGAGGCCCCAAGTCTTTTCATTTTGATGCATGTTTCTTTTGTTGTGCAGATGTCTTTTAGTTTGATGCAGTTCCATTTGTTATTTTTGCTTTTGTTTCCCTTGCCATTGGAGTTGAGTCCCCAAACACATCTCTAAGGCTGATGTAAAAGAGTATATCTCCTATGTTTTCTTCTGTGTATTTATGGTTTCAGGTCTTACATCCAAATCTTTAATCCATTTTGAATTGTTTTGTGTATGGTGTGATGCAGTGGTGTTATTTTAATGTTTTGCACATCCTTTTTTCCCCAACAAAACCTTCTAACATCTTCACAGTAGCTCCTTCATGGTTCACTAAGTAAACAATCTCATGAAGACTAATTTAATTTCCAAGGTTATCTTGAAAAATAGCATCCTATGTAGCAGACACAAATAATGTGGTTACTAGAAAGATCTACTCACTCATTACAAATTAATAAATTGGGACTCTAGGTTCTTGCTGCCCAACAGGACTTTCAGCAACAATAGAAATATCCTATATCTGCACTGTCCAACAGATAAGCTACATGTGGCTACCGAGCACTTGGAATGTGGTTAGGTGGCTAGAGCAAGTGAATTTCTAATTTTATTTAATTTTAATTAACTTAAACATAAATTGCCATGTGTGAGCTGTGGCTATTATTTTGGACAGAGAATTGCCAAAATATAAATAATGCTGTGAGTTGATGGTATGAAGCTATTCTCAACATACTAATTATTCCTGGATGAAATTTTAAAACTCCAGCTCGTATTTCAATAAACCTAAGGTCTGGACCCTGGACCCAGAGTAACCTATTCAGGTACTCATTTTCAGGGTCAACTAACACATCCCCCCATCTTACCACATCTTCACTTAGCAATGTTCACCTATACACTCTACTCAACATTTCCTAACCTATCTGTGTTACAGAGGCCACAAAGCATTTTTCATCTACTCGTTACTTTCTCTGTGCCTCCTCTTAATCAAATTGACAGAAACTAAAGCACATTCCAAAGGCATCAAGCAGAGTTGCTAAAATGAAAAGGAGACAGTGGAGAAGCATGCTTGTGCACTAACCTTTCATGTCTAAAGACATGGATTCAAATATAAATCAAACACTAAAGCTTGGAAGTCACATCCAAAACCCCAGGTGGATATGCATCCTAGTCATAAAACTCTTACAATATGACAAGCTGAAAAAACAGAGCAGATGGGAACAATGGGCAAATTTGCTCTAGCTAGGCCCACAATCATGAAAAGGCTGGGTCATGGGCAATGAAAAAGCAATTAATGCCTTAGAAACCTGGCCTCTGAGTATTTTCCCAAATCAATTCAAACAGAAGTATATTATATACTTCTTTTTAGTAAAAATTAATTAGGAAAATTTACAGATAAGGGAAAAAGAGAATGAGGAAGATGGAGAGAGTGAAGAATATTTTAATACAATCATTTCTTCCTGTTCCCTAAGTCTAAGAAATATGAGTTATAAGCTATAAGAACTAAACTGAGAACTACTCAGTTTTACTTCCTTTTCTTACATTTTTTTCTCTACAGAAATGAAGCATATTCACAAAATGATGTAAAATCATTAGAGACATTAATGCCATTAAAATCCTTCTGAAAGGATTAGATTTTTAAAAAATGTCAAACCGAGAATTAGGGCTTTTAAACTTTAGTTATTCATATAGCTGTTAGAATTCAACTTTTATAGGTAAGCTATAAGTCAGAATAGGGATATTTAGTCCTGCTTCAGTATGAGGGTCTTTGCTTAATAATTACCTAACATCATCTTTTCACAGGTCACATAAATAGTTCATTTTCAATTCATAGTCCTTTTGTCCCATTAACCCCAGGCAACCAAGAGTGAAGCAATTCTATTACTAAATAAACTTTCTCACATTTCAGTTTGAAAATTGTCAGAATGCTACTTATTTAGGCTCATGGATATAATGCATAGTAACTATGCTTTGCTATTATTAAAATTTATATCTACCTTTTTAATCTTAATGCAACTTTCTTATCAACAAATAGAAACAACCATAGTAAATAGATTGGCTGGAAAATCAAAGTGCAACAAGAAATAAGTCATTCAGTTCTAACAAATTAACACTCATTTGCTGGAATACTCTGTTCTTAAGAAGGTAATGTGAGAAATATAAGCATTACATCTAAAATCTGTTCTTCTGTATGCAAGTGAAAACATGTGCATATACATTCTTTCCCAATTTTAAAAAGCCTATAGCAGAACTGAGCAAACTTTTTAGTGTGAAGCCAGGAAAATGAGAGAGGGAGAATAAGTGGAAAGGAGGGATAGAGTTGCTGTAGCACAAGAACAAACAAATACTGAAATACAAGCTTAAGTTGAGAACAACAAATATCAAAGTATACTGTTTGGCAAGTTAACATAAGAACATAAGAAATATGTAAGTATACTTTCTTTGGTATAAGACAAGGGAAACAGATAGGAATGAGACCTTTTTCAGGCAGTGTGAAAAATTTAGGAAAGGCAGAGACAACAATCAACAACAACAGAAACATCATTTAAAGGTGGGGTCTTATTATTCACATAAGGCACACCCTTAATAGAGCTGTAATCTAGGCACACACACTGCCAAATGAAAGGAATGGCACGGACACACAGATTCACAATCGCAAATTATGGATTATTCTCTCATGCTTGTTCTCTGCCAAAGAAATAACTGTAATACCCAGGTAAATAAATCACCCCAATTATTTGTTATTTCAGTACTTTTAGAATCACAGATGAGTAGCTACCTAGGACCTTAGGAATCATCCATTCTAAACTTCTGATTTTATAGGTTCAGGAATTATTTTCTCTGAGTCAGTAGGACCGCCAAATCTCTGACTCATACTTCAGTGTCCTTCCCACAGTAAGTGCTTCCAAGTGTCCAAGCTTCCAATTTCATCAAACCTAACACATCATTTTAAAAACATATTCTTCTTCAATAGCAGCAGGGATATAACAGATTATGAACTTTGAACAGCATGACTGATTGCTGTACAGAGAAGAATGAAATGTGTTTGTTCAGAGTACCAGGAAATAAAAAGACCTCCTCCCTTTAAGGAGGAAGCAGTTCCTTCACAATGCTACAAACATGAAGTACTTTTCCCCTTAAAAGTAATTACTGGTTTTGATGGTTTCACAAGCAAAAAACACTATTATTCTGTTAGGGGCACAGAACTCTGAAAAGAGTTCAATTCCGACTGTATCAGAAAGACTGTAAATTGGTAAATTTACTACCAAAAACATTTTAAGGTAAATTTTATGGTAAACTATTTTTGGAGCATTTTATCAAGAGGACTGAATTGTATTTCAATAGCATTATTAAAAATGAAATTTAAATTAAAAAATAACCTGCTGGAATTCATAACGTCATTTATACCACAACAGACATTATTCAGAGGTTTCTACCTGTTCTCAATAATTATTTTTTACCTTGGCAAGGCGGCTCATCTGATCTTCTGAGAGAGTACTGCTTGTTCTGCCAGGAGTTTTTGTGGGTTCTGATCCATCTGCTTCTACATTGGGCCAGACTTTCAAATCATGCATCCCTTGACGAAACATGCTAAGAGAAGAGAGAATGTTCAGGGCAGAAGTAAATTAATAAAGGTCATTATCAGATATTTCGGATTCCTAAACAGAAAGAATTCTACACAAGTAAATGCATATCTCCCTTGCCAAGTTTGTTTTTTTTTTTTAATATTTATTTATTTATACAAGCACTGGGTACAGTCAGAAGGGCAGGGGGGTGAGAGAATTCACCAGAGCCAGAGCAGGGAGCAGAGCAGGCAGAAGGACCGAAGTACACTGCTAAGGGGAGCAGCGGGTGGCAGGAGAGGTCTGCGCACCATGCGGGACCCTCCTCTGGTGGCAGAGGAGCAGCCGGGGATCGAACTGGCACTGCAGAGGCTGCGGGCAGCTTCGCAACCCAGCACTCAACCGCTGCGCCACCGGGGAGGCCCCTCCCTTGCCAAGTTTTAAGCCCCCGGTGAGCTGTAAAGAAATTAAGAAATGAAATGCATGTAACATAGTTTTCCATGTACCATTCTTTCCTCCTCCAGTTAGAACCAGTATAGAAAACTAGTATACAGGTAGAATGGAAGAAAAGGCTCTTCTATTCAGAGAAGGCTCAGTAATGGAACATAACACACTTTTTTGCTTCAGTGGAGAACTTAGAAATGAATGGATGTTGTCACATACACAATGACTGAAACCAAATTCTAAATAATTACAAGACTATCTTCTTTAAGCAACAATTCAGCACACTAGACTATTGAGTCCAACTGCTGTGCCATCTACTACCTACATGACCTTGGATACCTTATTTAATTTTTCTGTGTCTCAGTTTCCTAGTCCAGAAAATGGAATTATAAAGAGCACCTTACAGGGATGCTGGAAAAATCAGTACAATTTACTAACTTTAAATAAAAATTTATTGTGAATAAAAATTACTTTTAGTAGTTTACTACTATTTACACTTACGTAGTAAGGACTCCTTAAATGTTAACTATTATCAACCTTTTCCCTAAGCACAAGTTGATTTTTCTCTTGTCTTCTATAAGAAAAATAATTAAAGGGAATATAATATAAAATATTCTCATGTCTATATATTGCAAATTTAAAAGTGAAAATCTAGATGAAGTTTGGTGGTCCTGCTAAAGTATAAGACTATATAACCTATGATTGCTGCATTTCCTTCTCAAAAGCTACCAAGAATATCTACCGTAAAATCTCAACAAACTCATAAAAGCAGTCTAAGACATTGTATTTTTTAAATATGCTAATATTAAGTTTCTGAGTTTGTTTTCTTTTAGGTTAGAAATACTCTTCTGTTGGTGTGTTCTCTTTAGTTGTTTTATCAAACAAGGGCTTTCAAATGTTACAGAGTCTACTCAAACCGCATCCTCCCAAAACTGAAAACGCAAGTTATAAATTACAAAAGAAAGAGTAAGACTGAAAGTGTGCGCAGGTGAGCAGGCAACTCCAAAGCATTAGGATATATGCTGGATATACTGACAGTTTTCTATTCCAGCCTTTAAAAAAAAAAATCTTATATTTAACTGTAAAAAAGGTTTAAATTTTTTAAAACATTATTATCATGTTCTCACTAATGGAAAATTTCTTCAGATTTTCCTGAGGTAATAAAAGAGGATTCTCCCTGATTTTGATATAAGTAATGATGGCATAAATATTTAGATGGGAAACTGTAAAGGATAGCTATAAGCTCATGATCATGACAAAGCTCCCATTTGTTAAAAGGTTTTATGGTTGGCAATAAAACAGATAATATTCAGCAACCACATATGCAAAATCTTACCTTACAGGCCCAATACAAAATGCATTGACTGGCTATGTAGAATAAAAATTCTCAATATTTATCATGTCAAAGATTTTAAAATGTTATACTACCAAAAAAGTACATATACAAGTCTCTCATAAGTTCATTTTCTTCCCCTTTGAAGTGGCATATAGATTCAACATCAAACAGATCTGCTTAGACTCTGGGATACTGGCTACAGTGATTTAATTAACACCACTTTATATGAATATCCTTGTATGTACCTTCTGAAACAGAAGAGGGCCTTTCTTCTTTCTCTCTACCTCCCCACCCCACAGTGAATACTCTGTCTGGCTTAACTAAATCAAAAATAAGCACATTTGGCAGGAAGTCAGTTTACTAAATGATTTAGGTGCCTTGGGATGGATCTGGAAAAGAGATTTAAGGATAGGGGACATAGAGGGTAGGGACAATGCCAAGTGACTCAAATGATCAAGTGAACATATTACTTTCTTTTGACACTAATGGAACCTTTGCAGAGAGTTGCACAGCCTCCAGGTGGCAAACCAGAAGATGCTCAGAGCATCGTGTCCACTTGGGAAATTAAGCCAAACAAGCAAGACAGAAGAAACAGCACAGCAGGATCTCCTTCAGACGCCAATAGAGGCCCCAGCAACAGCTGCTCTTGATGCTCCAGCTCCCAGTGCCAAGCCACTTCAGCAGCAACTGCCCTCACTTTAGAATTCACATTTGGAAAAAACATCTGCAAGAGAGATCTGCAATTTGCCTATGGTTCTTTGCCAACTCAACCTAACGATCAATCCATTCTTCAGCTACTTAGAAATCTCACAAGCTAGACTCTCAAAATGAGGACAATTAGTTATTCTAGCCATATCCTAACAGATAAGTCTTTCAATTATTAATTAGAGTATTTTCCAAGAAGCACTGCTTCACACTGTGCATACAAGTATTCAAGTATATAAAAGAGATATTAGCAAGCAGCAAGAGTTGGTAGTTGAAGAGTTGAATACTATAAAGAACTATTAGACATTTTAAGGATTATTTTTAGAAAGTTACTAAGTTCATACCAGGACTCTTTAGGGAACAAGAGGGGAACAATATAGTATTTGTTTCATTGCTAAGGAAACTAAAGTCTACAGTTCCATTTCCCTAAGTCATGAAAATTGTGGCTGCATATGACGATTTTTAATGATAGAAGGAAGAAAATTTGCCCAGGCTTTCTTGCTGCAGGTCCCGGAAGACTCATGTAGCATTCTCTCCCTGGATGTCAGCAGTACCATGCAGAGAAGCAGCTGTGACCCAACAGTACAAGTGGATGTCAGCACTCTGTTGTAACACCTGGAATATCGTGAATATCACAGTCATCCACCAACCCAAGCAGCAAAGGAAGCCTACCAGCATGCTAGGGAATACCTGGGTTTGGCTCTACTGCAACCCAGTTTGCTTTCAAGGAAAAGTTCCAGGACACAGAGAGAGAAGGATTTTATTTTCAATTTCATAGGGTTTCTTAGAATTTCTTTTTTTGAGGTAATGGATCAGTACAAGGACCAGTCTGTGGTGAAAAGAAGTTGGTGATCCAATCTTTTGCTTACCCATTGTCCCATGTATACAGAGACCCCTATTAAAAATTGAATATTGTCAATTGGCTAGGTGCCCTATAACCATGTAGGAGTTAGACTATATTTTTTTAAAGATTTATTTATATTTGCATACAAGAGCTGGGTGACAGGCCAGAGGTGTGGGGTGGTGAGAGGATTCACCAGTGACAGAGTGGGAAGCAGAACAGGTAGACTGACTAAAATACACTGCTGAGGGGAGAAGCAGGCGAAACAGGAGAGGTCTGCTGTGCCATGTGGGTCAGCTAGCTGTAGGGGATTGAACCCGTGCTGCAGTGGCTGCCAAGTTTCATGGTGCTGAGACTCAACCCCTTGTGCCACCAGGGAGGCCCTAGGAGTTAGACTAGTTAATAATGAAAATATTGATGTAAAATATTAACTTTACCTAAAATTAAGTGACAGTGAGCTAAATAGCTGTTTATCCAACTAGGCACAAACAGAAGCATTATAATTTAAAAAAACTTTTTTTTCTGCAGTATTATAGGCATGTTTTATAAACTAAATAGATTGAATATCATTTGTATTTCATTAGAGTTTTTGATTCAATTTCCAAAATAGCAGTTATTTTCATTGTATCTATTGTTGCCATTATCCACCAATGCTAAACACTTGTTTCCTGTGCATAGCAGGGAAAGCTGTTGCTTTAAAATAAGTTTTTTTAAAAAAGTGAGCTGGTTTTAATGAAAATATTAAGTAAATAAAAGTACAGGGCAGGAATTCTAAAAGTGTTAAGTCAATGACTCATATTTGAGAAACATACTCTAAATGAGCATTTCACAGAATCAGTGATGCTCTCTGACATGTTCCATTTGTACTAACATCAGGGTGTTCAGACTTGGAGGAACAGCATGAACTATTATCCAGTTAAGAGTTAAAAGAGATGACTTTTCAAGATTCAAAATCTTAATGCCAGAAAAACTAATTCAAGTTCAATTCCATGTATTGCCTTTACAGAACTCCTTGGGGTTCAGTTACTTTTTAAAAGAGATTAAATACTAGTGACTTTTCCTTCAGGTACTTTTCCAGTGTGCATTGAATAGAGGTGAAAGTGGAAACTTTGAAAAGAACTGCATGCATAAATCATATGGATAGACTACTATTAAAAGGTTATGCAGTATTGGGCCTCCCTGGTGGCACAAGGGTTAAAACAGAACCGATGAAGCTATCGACAGCCACAGCAGTATGAGTTTGATTCCCAGCCAGCCAGCGAGCAACCCACATGGCACAGTAGACCTCTCCCTGTCTTGCCTGCTGCTCCCCTCAGCAGTTTACTTCGGTCAATCTGCCTGTTCTGTTCCCCACTGTCTCTGATGAGTCCTCTCACCCCTCACACCTCTGGCCTGGTACCCCAGCTCTTGTATGCATAAATAAATAAATAAATAAATAAATAAATAAATAAATCTTTAAAAAAAAAAAAAGGTTATGCAGTATTTCTCAAGCGTGGTCCAAATGTGTCCTTTCTCAGAATCACTCAGAATATTTATTTAAAATGCTGATTCTGGGGCCTCCCAGTGGCACAGCGGTTGAGCGCTGGGTTGCGAAGCTGCCCGCAGCCTCTGCAGCGCCGGTTCAATCCCCCCGCTGCTCCCCAGCCACCAGAGGAGGGTCCCACATGGCGCGCAGACCTCTCCTGCTGCCCGCTGCTCCCCTCAGCAGTGTACTTCGGTCCTTCTGCCTGCTCTACTCCCCGCTCTGGCTCTGGTGAATTCTCTCACCCTCCCGCGCTTCTGACTGTACCCAGTGCATGTATAAACAAAACAAACAAACAAACAAACAAATAAATAAATAAATCATGCCTCTATATAAAAATAAAATAAAATAAAATAAAATAAAATAAAATGCTGATTCTGAGGTCCCCCTACTGATTTACTGAATTAGTGAAAACCCAGCAAGATACTTTTCTAGTTAGGCTTCCCATATGATTCTTATACATAGATTTATTACTACTGACTTCATGTCACATGTCAATCACAGAAAGTTTATTTGACTTTAGGCTGCTCATGTTACTGTACTTCACATTACTGTACTTCTGTGGGAATTTCAATTATCTCACACTTATACTCTAGTAAGAATAGCTCCGAAAACTAGATCCTGAGCCATGGAAAATACACATGAGTGCTAAACGTGGAATTTTTATGAGGGAACCTCTTGGTGATATTCCAGAAGGTAAACCACTTATGATGAGCCCAGGAGGAAAACCCAAGCAATCTAGATGGCTGTTTCTCAGGAACATTTAACCACAAAGACTATAATAAGAGTTAATAAACTGTTGTATATTTTTATTTCTATGTGACAAGCAAACCACACCCCAGTGTTAAAAAATAAAAAGGAATATATACTCTGGAAAAAGAACAATTTAGTAATAGTAAATCAATAAATCCCTTCTACTTAACATGCTATTTTATCCAAAAAAAAAAAAAAAGCGTGCAAAAACTGAGACTACAATGTTTCAAACTAAGTGAAACTACTCTCTACGCATGGACTTCAACAATAAATAAATCTGTAATAGCTACAATAAACTAAAATATCTACACATTACCTAGTAGTCAAAGTATTCTAAGTAAGATTAATTTAGATTTTATTCACGAGTTGAAAGCTTTCTGACAAACCCTATTCTTGGATAGAAAAATTCAATTATTATAAAGTGTAAATTCTCTCCATAGTTAACATACATAATCCAATACAATTTCCCAAGAAACTAACAATGAGTTTTTTTCCTAACCGAGGAAACAAAATTAGCTGACAAAACATATCTAGAGAATACCCAGTGATATTCGAAAAAAAGGACTAAGTGGGAAGATTATCCCGACTTAATATTAAACCGTTTTATAATAGTATTCAAAACAAACAGAATAGCTCAGAAATGAGTGCCAATATATATGAACACTCATTGAGTTCATTACCTGCCTTTAGCATTTTAATTATCACAACCTATTCTATGAGGTAAATATTAGTTTTATGTCATTTTATAGATGAGGAAACCAAGGTTTCAGGAGATTATATAATTTGCCCAAGGGAACACAAATATTAAGCAAGGAAGCCAGGACATCAACCCAGATAATCTAATTCTACCACCTGCCTTTCTAACCACCATACTACATACCACACTATTTCTCCTAGCCTTTGGTAGAAAGTGAATTAAGTATATGAAGATGCCATTTTAAAATTAATGGAATTCTCAAAACATCACACCTTACATAAAAGAAATTTTAGATGAATCAAATGTATGAATGTAAAGGAATAAAATCAGAAGAAACAATTTTTTAAAAAATAATCTTAAATGAGAAAGGACTTTCTCAAACAAATTCACAGGCAATAAAAATAACAGTGAACAAATTCCTAATGATTTAAGACCAATGAATAGCAAAAAAAGCAAATAAATGGACATATTCTCATTCAAACAAAAATGTCACAGAAAAAACATTCATAACATAAATGTGATTCTTTACAACTAGTCAATGCACTTTGCATTGGGCCTATAAGTTATGTACAAAGACCTCTTACAAATTAAAGAAAAATAACAATTCATAAAAAGGCAAAGACTTTTAAGGATGTGAATTGTTATCTCAATACAAAAACATGAATAAAGGAGATTAAAATCAATTCATAAAAACAAACAATACAGTAAAATAAATATCAAAATATGATCAATGATCATCCTCATTCATACTTAATGATATGGTAATTAATTAAGGAGACATTTTAAAATATAAAATAGGGCCTCCCTGCTGGTGCAGGTGGTTGAGCGCAGCGCTCTGAAGCTGTCCGCAGCCTCTGCAGTGTGGGTTCAAGTCCCCCACCAGCCAGGGAGATACCCACATGGCACAGCAGACCTCTCCTAACTCATCCATTGCTCCCCTCAGCAGTGTATTTAGATCAGTCTGCCTGTTCTGTCCCCCACTCTGTCTCTGGTGAATACTCTCACCCGCCCACATCTGGCCTGTACCCTGGTTCTTATATACATGAACAAATAAATCTTAAAAAAATAATAATAATAAAATAAAATATAAAATTGGCAAAAATTAAGAAGATTAATAGCATATGCATTAACTTCTCTACCACGTTACACAGAAAAAACTAGGACTTCTTTCAGAGATTCCAGGTCTGGGGAAGAAAACTGCCCAATGAACTTGAAGTGATTTGTTTACCAGAAAGCAAAGAAACTACCAGTGACTATTAGACTGCTGTCAAAAAGACACTGGCTCAACTTGAAGGCACTGGTCCAAATAATCAAAAATGGGAATTTTTGAGCATTATAAAGAATGAAAAGAACACTGAATTGAAAAAAACAAAAACTGTGTAAGCCGAAAAGTTGACAAAACTTAAAAAACCAAAACCATCAATCATCATCTTTCAAATCACCAGAATAGCAAAGCATTCTTGAAATTGTTAAATGGGGGGAAAAGTAAACATTTGAATGCTTCCTATTATCCTTACTGTCATGACCATTACAAAGCAGAAAAAGCCTATAACAAAACAAATATAGTACACACCATCTAGTCTTTTTTCCTAAAAACAAGATTCTGGTTTCCAATGAACACTTTCTAATAGAAATCATGCTACCATTTACTAATAGTAAAGCAATAAAAATTGTTTTTCTTAGTTAATCTAGCTGCACATCTCTAGGAAATATGTCAAACTGTCTCCAGAATGACCAAATTGTATGTACCAAAGAAGTTTCACCTCCCAGCACAGAGAACCAGAGTGGGCATAAACTAGTGAAGGCACCCAGAAAAATTAAAAAGCCACAACACGCCTATAAATTATGAAAAGAGAATGCTTACCCATATTTTCCAAAGAGAGAAACTGTTGTTCCTCCCACAGGTACTGCCTTTCCTGGTCCATACACATCCCATATGGTCAGAGCCACTTGGGCATTCCTGGGTAGATCAGGGTATTTCACAGGCAGTTTCAGCCATTCATTCCAGCTATAAAAATAAAATCAACATAGGCATAAAGCTAAGGAAATTACACACACACACACACACACACACACACACGTATATGTATAGATGTCTATAAAATCTTGTAAATTAACTATATAAGAAGGTTTGGCTAGAGAAAATGTCCCAAAAACATGAAGTTAGTACTACAAAAAACATTGTGGCAGTTCCTTCAATTTTGCTCTAGGCAACTTCAATTTTAAATATAGAACACACACACACACACACAAACTAAATGCTTTTGAAAAATAACAGTGGTAAATCCTTTATTCAAGAAACTCAGATAAAATCACAAGGACAGAAGGAATATGATAATGGTTAAGAAAAACGAAGAAAAACATTTAACTTGTTAAAACATTTTGAGGGCCTCCTCGGTGGCGCAGCGGGTAGAGTGCAGCACTGTGAATCCGTCTGCAGCCTCTGCGGTGCAGGTTCGATTCCCAGCCGGCCAGGAAGATTCCCGCATGGCGTGGCAGACCCCTCCTGTCATGCCTGCTGCTCCCCTCAGCAGTGTACTTCAGTTGTCTGCCTGTCCTGCTCCCCACTCTATGTCTGGTGAATCCTCTCACCCTCCCACACCTCTGGCCTGTACCCCAGCTCTTGTATAAAAATAAATAAATCTTAAAAAAAAAGTTTTGAACTTAACTGATTGTTTTTTTAATATTCTCCTGAACACAGCTATATGCTAAAAAGAAAAAAAATCAGAATTACTCAAATTATACTAAAAACAGGGCCTCCCCTGGTGGTGTGGCGGTTAAGCGCTGGGTTGTGAGGCTGCCCGCAGCCTCTGCAGCGCCAGTTCAATCCCCAGCCACCGGTGAGGGTCCCACCAAAAAAAAAAAAAAAAAAAAAAAGGTAAGGGTTACATGGTCATAGAGCACACAGCATTTCCTTAATGAAGCAGGTGCCACAGCCAAAGACTAGCCACTGATTTCATAACATGAAAAAGTAACCAGCTTGTTCTGAACAGATACATGACAATGTTTTACATGAGACTGTTGTTATTCTCAAGTTAGTTCATTAAAACTGATAATACTTAGCCACTTAGCTACTAGCTAGCTTTTTATGCTTTTAAAGCATACTTATGTATGATTTCACTAAGGCATGCTTATTCTTAATAATATAGTAATGACAGTATGTCTTTTGTTTTACTCTCTATTTGTCTTTGTAAATTTTCTTCTGCATTCAAACTTCACAGTAGTTTCATTTCATAATTTCAACTCCTTTAAACAACAGATGGTTTTTAAAATCCCCAAAGAAAACTATGCAAACAATACACATAGTAATACCCAGCAGACACATAGAATTGTTTCTCTGTTTCCTCAAAACTATTCTGTTTCCTCAAAATTATTCTCAAAGGGGCATAAGCCAGTCAAGGTCAAATACATCTACACTGAACAGAAATTGGACAGAATTTTCAATAACGTAAGTGATAAATCATTTATAGTTACCACATAAATCAGGGGCATAGAGAAAAACGATAGATATGGCTATCAATTTTAAGGAGAATCACAAAGTCAATAAATATGTTTTTCTATAAAGTTCTTAAAAAAAGGTACATGCTTAAAAAATGCCATTCGCTACCACAAATAAGCTTGAGGAATTAAAAAGAATGTATTCAATTAGTATACATGGTGGCCAGGTTGTACAGGAAAATACTAAGCAATGTCATCTGGTGTCAATGAACAAACCACAGAGGTTAATTAATACAGGCTAAACTTAAAGTCAGTCACAAAATCCAAATGAACTGTGAAATTTTTCACCTCTCTGTTTTCTCTTTTTTTAGAGACTAAGAGACACTACATATGACCAAGTAAGCATATGCCTCAAACACTTGCCATCCAACACGAGGTCCCAACAGTTCTTTAAATCAAAGCAACTGTAGGCTAACCTGTTTTATATACTGGACTTCGTAGAAGAGTTCTTTCGAAGAAATGAATTTGAAGCTAAAGAACAGTTTGAAAACTATTCCATATATACTAGAAAGATCTAGTTAGACATTAAAAAGCTGTTTATTTTGAACAACATTTTGCTTTCTCCCTCCCCATATATAATCCTTTTCCTCCAAGTCTAACCCTCACTAAGCTGAAGACTAAATTCAGTGTTTAAAAACATGAAAAATCATAATGCCTGATGACATAGTCCAATCCCTATCATACCTCCCTATCACACATACCACTATACTAACCCTCTAGTATGATTAATGTATTTCTAAATTCATAATTTGTACATTACATTAAATTGTCAGTATATCTTTCTCCCTAAAGCTATTTCAAATCCTTTCTGTGACAAGACAGAATACGTGTTGTTGTTGTTGTTGTTGTTGTTGTTGTTTTTAATTAAGTAAATGGCTTGCCTCCAGAATATCCAAATTAAAAACCTGGACATTTGCAGTATTCCACACCTAAAAATGAGATTTTTACTTTGTGTAATTAAAACAAGCACAGGTCTTCTCTCAATTGATTCTCTTATTACAGAATAGGATAAAATATAGTATAATAAAACTCTACTCAATAAATTTTGGATGAATTCCTCATTATTACAACTCTCAGAACTTGCTATCAGAAACTCAGAAATGTGTGGTTCTAAATCATTTAAGGGAGGGTCAAAATCATCTTAAAAAATCTAATAAAAACTTTGGAGTCTGTCCCTATAGAAAGGAGCGAGACATGGAATTTTGCATACAATTTCAGGGTTTAGTGTATTTCCTGAGTTCAATTTAAGAAACTCTGATACAATCAAACAATTTTGATACACTGCTTTCAGAAATTCAGAAATAAGATTTAGATCACCTGGAATCTCATTCTATATACCAAATTTTGCATTGCAAGAGAAGTCTGCTTTTCTTTCTATTTCCTATTGTGCCAAGGCATGAAACAAAACCACTATATAATTTTCCTTACCCAGAAAAGAAATTAGTCAAAAATAATGACTTTCTGGAACTAAAATAAACATATTTATGTATATAGGTATAGATAAAAAAAGACTTGTTTTCCATTAGTAATTACTGAAACTAAGTGATAAGGCATTAGCAGTTCATTACATTCTTCTGTTTTTACAGGTTTGAAATTTTCCAGAAAAACAAGTATATACACACATATAGAGATATATTCGTGTGTGTACACACACTCACAAAAACACTACTTTAGAAAAAAATCAGTAAAATAGTATTTCAATGGCTTTTAATGGCTTCAATATTTTAATGGTTTCTGTAGTATTTTGGGGTTTCAATGTAGCCAGATCACCAGAGCTTAAGCTTCTGCTCCATCTAAAAAACCTTCGCAACCTGCTGGACTACACCAAGTAAACAGAGGGCTGTATCCTTGACCTCACAATGAGGCAGTTCATATGGCCTCATCTTGTTTCCCATGAATACAATGGGCACAAGCTCCTTCTTCCCTGACAGGCATACAAGTGTGTACCGTGCTCTGCATCTACCAGGATGTTGAATATTTGTGGATTAAGCATTAAAACTATACCATTTAGGGCCTCCCTGGTGGCACAGTGGTTGAGCGCTGGGCTGCGAAGCTGCCTGCAGCCTCTGTAGCACCGATTCGATCCCTGGCCACCAGCGAGGGTCCCACATGGCGTGCAGACCTCTCCTGCAGACCTCTCCCATCAGCAGTATACTTTGTCAGTCTGCCTATTCTGCTCCCTGCTTTGGCTCTGGTGAATTCCCTCACCCTCCCGCACTTCTGACTGTACCCAGTGCTTGTATAAATTAATAAATCTTAATAAATAAATAAATAAAACTATACCATTTAGTTTACAAAATAAGAAAAGTCAAGAGGTTAAATTAAGGACCTTGTTATACTTACTCTGCCTTACCACAATGTTTTATTAATGTACTATGCCCAATAAACCATGAACTTAAAATAGTTTCATATTTAACATAATAAGAAAAATGTAATCTGGGCCTACCCGGTGGTGCAGGGGTTAAAGTCTCAGCACAATCAAGCTATCACCAGCCACTCAGCATGAATTCAATCCCTGGCCAAGGAGCTACCCCATATGGCTCAGCAGACCTCTTCTGTCTTGCCCGCTGCTCCCCTCAGCAGTGTAGTTCAGTAGATTCACCTGTTCTGCTCCCCACTTATCACCTGCACCGCTGGCTTACACCCCAGTTCTTATAAGCATAAATGAATAAAAAAAAATCTAATCTGACCAGATAACAACAGATCTCTCTCTAAAGATTAAAGCTCCAAACATCTGGTTGGACCACATTCCACACTATCAAGTAGTATTTATGTGTTCAAAGTAGAAAATTTACCTTAAGAACAGTAGAGAATTGGAAAATGCTAAAGATATGTTTTTGTTTTGAGTCAAGTTGTGAAGCAGCCAAATATTTATAAAAATACATCAATATACTGAATACAAACATAACTTTGATCCCACCTCAATTGTGATTACAATATTGAAATGTAGAATACTTTAGTTTGAGTAGATTACTGTTTGAAACTATTCCATTAATGCATATAAGTATTAAAGAAAGACATTTCTCTATAATCCCTAGTAAATTCTACTTGCAACATCCTTAGAGAAATAGAACAGTGTAGAACCCACCATACAAAAGAAAATAACTTACTTCCATCTTGTACTAAATGCCTTGTAGGATGTTCGCACTGGCAAGGCCAGAGGTTTCCCCTCTGCAAAAACTTGACAAGTAACAAAAAGGTCAGAGCAGGTGTCTTGGTACAGCCCTGAAAATTTCAGCATTGGGTCTTCGAGAACAGCTTTGTAACTCTTTTGTTCTCTCTTCCCTTCCAAACTTCCTCTGGAAGCATAAGGATAATATTTAGACATACATTTTTAAATATATGCATATACAACAGGTACTAAAAGAGCTTATGGTTGTGTCACAGTAACTTTCTGCCATCTAAATAACATTTTGTTTACAATTAAAGTCACTTTTACATCTAATAAAGATCTCTTAAAAGCCTAACATACCTAAAGTAGTTCCTATTTTTATCATCATAAAAAATACACAAAGGGTACTAATAAGAGGTAGTAAGATTTCTTAGACACCAATATTACATCAGGTACTGTGCCAGAGTTTATATATTCTCTCTTACTTTTTACCATATTCTCATTTTATAAATGATGAAGGTGAAACTCAAAGAGATCAAACTCATGATCCAGAATCGAATAAGTTACAGAGTTGAGAATACAAACCAGAACTGTAGTAGGAAACTTCCTACTACAGAAAGATACATCAAAGCCTCAGGAACTACTAAATTGACTTGGGGGCGGGGTTGAGTGTTCCCGGTGCTTAAAATGATCTTGAACAACATACAGGAGATGGGAGTCAAAGAGGAAGGCAGTGACCTCAAAAGAAAAGAGCAGTAGATACAAAGATAGAGAGACAAGATAGTATGTCTGGGGGACTGCAGTTTGTCTGCTATACCTAAAGCATAAAGTTCAGGTGAGGACGAACATAGAGATAAGAATGGAAAGTAGAGGGACTATGAGCATGACTTCAACACAGTGCCTGATATAATGTGACCATTAGAAAAATCTGTCAACTGAATTATTTGACCTGAGAGAGTAAGAAAGTCATATTTTTATTTATGATACATTTGGCAGCAGTATAAGAACAAAAAAGAGATGTAGGACTGAAAACAAGATCAGCTTAAAGACTTTCAGTGAAAACTAAAAAGGTAAAAGGTACACCAAGACTAGGCAGTGGGGTAGAGAAAGGAACATGGATCAAAGTTATTTAGCAGGCAGATTCAAGAAAACTTGTGAATGATTAAACGGAGGAGGTAAGAGAAGGGTGTCCACATAATGTGAAGTTTTCTGTCTTAACTCAATGGATCATGATAACAACCACAAAACAGGGTGAAAGAACACAGAAGACTACTGTTAGTGGGGTAAGCTAATATGAGCTCAGTTTTGAACAATGTGCATCTAAAATGTTTTGGGACACACAACGTGACCATATCTTTGGGCAATTTGATATTCAATTAGAGCACTAACAAAACAGACATCAAAATACAAAGCCATACAACCAGATTAAAAGGGCTGGAGAGAATTAAAGAATTTACAGTACTATTCAACAGTAGCTAACTTTGTATAGGAGTCTAAATGAATACTTCCTATCTCCCCAAAAAAACCAACATTGGTGGTCTCAGAAGCTAAAAGATAGTAGTGAATTTTGCCAAACCTCTAATTTATGCTTTATCTTTGCCTCAAATAGTCAACATATGTGCCTTCTATGTCACTATTCAACCAGTTTTTAGATCTTTCTTTTTCCTTTTAAATGTCCAAAAGTTTAAAAAAATACGTATACCTAAAAAAGAGACAGAAGAAGCGCTCTTTACTAAATGACGGCAATGCAGGCCCTGTAAAAGCATTTAGTGGTATGCTGCAGACATAACTGAAATATATGTGTACAATATTATAGAAAAGTACAATTTCTTTGTTGGCTATTTTTTTTTTTTTTTACCATCACAAAACGACAGCAAAAGTTTTGTCTGAGTCTAAGTTGAGTGACTTGGAAAGCTAAAGAAAATAATCAAAGTTCTAACTGGCAACTGCAAAAGTGTATTTATCTCATAATGTTAAGTGTGCAGCCCTTTGAGGCATATTTGTTGAATATTGACTGAACATGTTAGGAATAATAATAGTGTGGTTATGGATAGCTTTCACATATATAAACACTTCTATACCACTACCTTAAAATGGACATAATTTTCAACTCGGTCCTACCCTCCCCTGATCTTAGGTCGATTATTCTATCAAGATATCCTAACTGAGGTGCTCCAAGATTTCCTGAGAGGTCATTTTCTTCCTATTATCTTGGTCCCTTTGCAACGGGCACCTTCATTTTCGACTCACTCCCATCTTCCCTGGCTAAATAATGCGAGCCTGTCCAAAGACAACCAAAGCCTCGATCACCTCCCGTTCGTCTAATAAATACTATACCTATGTTGCCATCTCATCAATGGCATCTGCCTGTGTCCACCTTTCTAATTATTACACTCTCCATTCTACCCTTCAGCCCATTCCAAAGTTCTTCCAATTGCTAACCGCGAGAGGATCTCGCCGAGATTTGACTTTTGGAAAATGGGACAGAAATAACCCTTCAAAAGCTCGCTGTGAATAGCAAAGTGCTTTGAATACAGTAAACTGCAGGGTACGGACGGGTTTATTTCTACGCTATCCGCTTCCCAGAAATCATGTCTTCAATTTTTCTCTCAAAAAGCTCTTCTCCAAGCTGCCACTCTCCTCCGCTTCCCTAGCCACGGGCCCTCGGGCAACCCCCAGGCCGAATCCCTGCCAGTAACCATCTTCTCTCCCCAACCCAAACTGCCCAGCCTCCCGTCCTCCACCCCAGCAAGCCCAGCACTGTCTCCGGTTTCTCTCACATCTTAAGCTGCACGTTGATGTCCAAGTCACAACTGTAGATGTAGTGAAACTTCTCGGCTTCCCCCATGGCACCCACGCGAAAGTAGCGCCGTGGCGAGAAAAAAGTAGCTCAACAGACACGGGGACTCAACCAGCCGCGCACAACAACACGGGAGCTTCCGGTTCCGCCTCTCAGGCCCGGCGCAGCCAATCCTGCCCCAGCGCGACCGGCGTCACGGAACGCCACGCCCAAGTTTACTTCTGCGCATGTGTCGAAGTCTCCCACCATCTTGCTTAAGGGTAAATATGATGCCGGAAACTCAGCCTGACAGGTTACATACCCTGCTTCCTGTCTTAGGAGTGGCTAACCCCCTCCCCCAAGAAAATAAAAGCTGTCATTTTTGAGCTTGAACTCTAAAATAAGCCCAAAAGAAAATTCGATTTACAAACAATGCTAACAACTTTCACTGGTTGCAGACTAAACAGAAAGCAATCAAAAGAATTGGAATTTTGCCAAGTTTAACTTGTAGAGGTTTTTCCAAATATTGTAGATTTAATTATTAATTTACTCGCTGCAGGAAAAAAAAAAATCTGCTCGAAAGAGTGGGGAAATTACTAGACAGCAAAAAACCCTGGCTTCCAGTCTCCTCAGTAACAATATCTGTCATTTTGGACAAAATACTTGGGTGCTTCTTTACAGAGTATATTCAAAGCTAATGTAGCTTTCAAAACCTAGCTCTAATTAGAATCTAGTAATCTTCAGTTATGACTGTAGAACTCGTATTTCTAAATCTTCTGATTCCTACAATGCATATTTTATAATACTTAATATTATTTAAAATTGAATTCATTTCCAATTAGATTCAAAACTATGAAGGTGGGGCCCTCCCTGATGGCGCAAGAGGTTAGGCACTGCACTATGAAGCTATCCGCAGCCTCTGCAACACGAGTTCGATCCCCGGTTGGCCAGGGAGAAACCCGCATGGCAAAGTAGACCTCTCCTGTCTTGTCCCCTGCTCCTCTCAGCAGTGTATTTCAGTCAATCTGCCTGTTCTGTTCCCTACTCTGTCTCTGGTGAATCCTCTCACCCCTCCACCCCAGGCATCTCTAGCCTGTACTCCAGCTCTTGTATGCATAAATAAATAAATCTTAAAAAAAAAAAAAAACAAAAAACTTTGAAGGGAAGAATAGTGTGCTGTATGCTTCTGCATCTGCACTTGATGGAGGAAAAGTATAGAACACTGGGAATGGAGGCGCCACAAGACCAGAAACCTGGTTCATACAATACTGGGAGCTGGAGGTGTGAGTAACACAGTCTTTAAACCAGCAATAGAAATTAAAAATACTTAGGCACTCAGGCACAGACCCAAGGAAATTTCAGACTACTGTTAGCGTGTGTCAAGGGCGGCAGACCAGAGGTGAGGATATGGAGATTGAGGGCTATTGTGGAATCTCTGGTCCTTTTCAAATTCTACGTAGTTATTAAAAAAGTCAACAAAAACAACCACTCCACAAAGGAATGCGCCTTTCCCACAAGAAGACTGTATCAGTGCAATTTCTGCACTGGCAAGGGGCAGCATTCTTGCCCACCTGTGACTATGCTGGTGCTTTTTTTCACCAACCTTTCCTTTTGTAGAGCAGGAGCAGCATCCCTTCTGCCCGCCGGTGCCCTATGCATGAGCTCCTCACCACCAACTGGCTCCCTTTGCAGGACAGGAAACTTCCAACCGGTCTGGCCTGTGACTTGTGACCTAGCCTGTGCTTCACCTCACTGACCTCCCTCCGCGGAGGCAGCTCTCCTCGCAAAGCTGCCTGCCTGTGACTATGCAGGCCTCTCTTTTAGCAAACCTGTCCCTTTTGGGATAGAGAGCTCTTTCTGCCTGCTGGTGTCCGTGTGAGTGTCCTTTTCCTTATCTCCCTTTTTCACAATAAACCAGCCCTTTTGGCTATAACTAACATCTCTGTCTCATGGAGAAACTCGCCTAACAAATTCACCATTGCCACTGAAAGGGGAGCTCTGGTGAAAAATTTCCCAGAGTTAACCCAGGTTAAGACCACTGTGGGGCAAAAAGGGGGGGGAAACGTCAGGCTGTGCCACCCTACCACTGCGCATGCGCACTCAGCCAACCAGCGTGGCGCCGTGTGGCGTGGCATGCGTGGCATGCGTGTGTGGGTGACGTAGCATGGCGCGGTGCAGGGCTGTGTGGTGCGGTGCCAAGGACGGGGACTGTGGTGGAGTGGACGGAGGAGCGCGACGGAGCATGGCGACCACGACGAGGGAGCGCGTGAAGGCACCAACAGGCCTGCTAGAACCGGTAATGGACGTACCCGTGTGGGTTGGTTGCGCGACAACCACACTCTCCAAAACCAATACATCTCCAAAAAATGACTTCACATTCCCTTAGTGCGTAATACACTTCTGATTTTATATTTAGATTTATTATTATTAAATTTATATTTATTAAATTTATATTTATTATTATTGATGACATTGGATAAAATTCTCCATTGTCCTTGTTTATTTTTAGCCACCATATTGTGGGGACTTAGTTATAGCATGTGTACGTTAAGGTAGTTAGGGAAACTATCTTTCATGAAAGGCTGAAAGGACTGTAACTATTTTACCTGGAAAGACAGAAAAAAAAGGCTAATGAATGCACAATGTTTTGTCCAAGGTATGATCCCAAGAATAATTAAAAAAGCAAGAAAGGGAGACAGGCAGACTAAGAAAAGAAAAAAAAAAGTAGAAATTCTTTAATAACTTAAAGTTATAACCAAAAGACAACAAATTTAATTTGTTCCTAACTACCACGAATGGTGGGAACTTGTAGGAAATGTAATTTTAGCAACCAATAAAAACTGAGCTTTCTAATTGTCAGAGCTGCCTAGTAGTAAAATAATTACAAGTGCCTTGACATGTGTAATAATTCCATGTGTGAGGTTTCATGTGAAACAGATTTCTCAAACTTGAATAAAATATTGACAATTTATGAAGTACTAAATTCTCTGATTCCAGTGCTGATTTAAATTACTTTTATGTTATTTAATAGATTATTATTATGTTATTTAATAGATTATTATGTTATTTAATAGATTATTATTTTATTGTTATTAATGTATGTTATTTAATATTTAACTGTAAATAGAACTCTGTATACATTTATTTAATAGATAACTCTGTTATTTAATAGATAGCTATAAGTAGAACTCTGAATATACAAATACATTTTATAAGTTATAGAAAAGATAATTTATTAAATTAAAATCAAAACTTTAAATTAACAGCCTTAATATAACACATTGACTTTTAAAACAGGAATATGGCATTGATTACTCTTAAAGAACTTGTTTAAAATTCGGCATGCCTATACTGCTGTACACTAAATGGCAATTCAATTACTATGCCTCCTTTTATATTCAAATTACTATAAAATCTTCATTAGTATAATTACTATGATAGCATTTGATCTTTTTTATTTTAAGTCTATCTCTTCCCTTTTTTCATTAGCTCATATTAGTTAAAATTACACTAAGTGACCCAAACACAACTCAAAGGCATAAATAAGTATAAACACTTAGTTATAAGATATTCATTCATGGAATCCAGGAATTAGCGTCTTAAGGATGATCCAAGAATCCATTACATTAAATTTTTATAATGGTGAAATAGTAGGAGACCAGACTGTGATTGTTAATTAATATAACAGAAAAGCAAATATGCCAATAAGGAGGAGGATCTTGGTAAGTTATGGGAGGATGGTAGAGTATAGAAACCAAAACTGCCAGTGCCTTTCCTGGACCAACCATGAGTCAGGAGTGTTAGTATTTGAATATCAGTGTCTAGTTGAAAAGGCCATATTGATAGGGGAAATGGAAGCCTTAGGCATCTCATTTTGAAAGAAAAGGAATATTTTCTTCCTCATGTGATGTGTCACAACTCATAAATATAGCATAAAATTATAATTATAGAACACAATTTGCATTGTAAGAACCCATGCTTTCATAGTCACCCCCTGTGGTTAGGACAATACCTTTTTTCTTAAAGATTTATTTATTATTTATGCAAGCATTAGGGTACAGTCCAGAGGTATGGGAGGGTGAGAGAATTCACCCAAGACAGAGTGGGGAGCAGAACAGGCAAACGGAGCGAAATGCATTGCTGAGGGGAGCAGCAGGCAAGACAGGAGAGGTCTGCTGCACCATGTAGGTATCTCCCTGTCTGGCAGGGAATTGAAGCGGTGCTGCAGAGGCTGTGGACAGCTTCACAGAGTGGCGCTCAGTCTACTGCACCACTGGGGAGGCCCAGGACAATACCTTTTATGTTAAATGTTTTCTTTCTGTAGTAGGTGACTTCATCATTATTTGGTTCCACATTTAATTCACCTTTGGAGTTGCAGTTTTGATTTTGTGTTTTCTTTGCCACCGTGTTTCAATTTCATGTTTATTAGATCTGGTAACATTTTAAAGATAATCAAGACATTTGTTGGTAATGGCTTAGGACTTATACATTGATAGCTGATAATCAGGGCTTATTTTTCTCACTTTCTTTCATCTTAATCTATTGTCTTGAGCTTGCAATAAAATTTGTACTCATAACTTTTTAAAAAAGCAACCATCTGTTTTTGAGCATCCATCAAGAAAAAAAATGACTACATTGTTGTGAAAATAAAATGACATTACAATTCCTTTTTCTCCAATTAAAATTATTTTCTTTATAAGTTTTCTAATAATCCCTAGTGTGTTTTAAAAACTGATTAGCCAGTATAAAATACAAAAGTATCAGGAAACTTGAAAAATCCTACCTCATAATTTAAGACTCTTGGTCATTTGTCAAGTGACAATGTGAAAAAAATGAGTTTGATAATGTATATTAGTCGCCAGGAGCAAGAACCCACAAGACCTGAATAGTTTTCTTCATAAAGGTAATTTCTATCATTTGCAGAAGAGAAAGCATAAAATCATGAGCTATTCTAAAAAAATAATAAAAGTATATTCTGTGTATGTGTTCCCTCGTAATATATCTGTATTGTAGTAGGATAAGTTCTTCTCTCAGTATCGCTGTAAAAAAAGAAAACTTGTAGTTGAATGACATCACTATCAGGAATCTCAGCTATGAAAGGAAACGAGGTAATATCTGTCTCTTGGAAATATGATCAGGTTATGCCTGAGTCACATGGTTGTGAATGGAACTATTTGTGCCTTCACTTCCTCTCATCCAATATGGATGTGCTATCTGATACTCATACCTCAGGAAGCAGAGAATAAAAAGTATGGCATTACCAGGCATTACATGGCATCAACAGGCATATCTGAGTTCAAAAGATATATATATATATTTTTTTTTTTTAACCAAACTATAGGGAATGTTTCAGTTTCTGAACTTAAGTTTCACAGCAGAGACTCAATTATTAAGGGCAGTGTCTTTAACATCCTGGGTGTTATTTAGCATTGCCATTGCTCCCTCTGCCTCTCTAGTAGATCATATTCTTCAGTAAACATTGTGACTCATTACAGATTAACTGCATAGAGGGAGATGTTCTGGGTACATTTAGCACCTTTGCAAATCATTCATTATTTGATAAATATTTGTTGTGTGCTTAAAATGTGTCATGAACTAAGATATATGTTAGATATGGGTATCTCCAACCTTACCAGAGAGAAAGTGGCACACTCCGCCTATGTGAGAAGCCACACAAGTATCCTTCAGAGTGCAGTTCCTGTGTCATCATGCAACCCATCCTAAAAGATCGTAAGCCACAATGAGATTTATTTCACTTGTCTATAACTATTATGAAGCAATAATGACTTATGGCATTTCTGAGAACTCAGAGTTGTCAGAAAATCCATTGCAATGAGTGAATCCTTGGTCCACATTATGTTTGATTTGCCATTCTGGTGTGTGTTCATTCTTTGCGTTCATTCTTTGCTTATGCTTCTACATTCTCCACAGAGCAGAGATGCTGTTATCTTTGGCACTTGTTATTGCCTTGCTGGTGTGCATTTGTACTTGTGCATGAATATTTAATCACAGCAAGGTTGACCTGACACTTAGACTTACTTCTCTGAGACAGAAGAAGAGACACAATCAGAGATGGAGTCCAGAGACAATAATTAGTGATACAAATAATTCCTCATAACCCCTCTTGCCATTCTAAATCATCTACTCAGATACTGCAAATGCACTATAAAGAGTGATAGAGATCCTAAAGAAAGCAAAGGCCCTCATATACAGTAGAAAGTTTAATTTTAAATGAGAAATAGGGAAAAAAAAGCTTATATAAGTACTGAAATAATAAACCCTGGTATGAAAATTAGACAGGGAAGAAAAAGGAGAATTGTTCCATTGAGAGTTTGCCTGATTTCAGCTGTGAATTAGTGTAATAGTTCCAAAAGTTAGTGCTCTTTCCAGGAAAAGAGAGGTGTTTGCTAGATTGGTGGCCCTATTTGATAAAAGATAAAGGAGCTTAAGACTCAAAGAAGAATGTGAGAAATAAAACATCTTAGAGAAACCAAGTCCAACTAAGGTACATGGGGTGAAATTTTATCTATTTTTCTGTCTTAAAGACCAAACAACATAAAAGCGCTATTCCATACCAAGGTTCAGTGGACTACTGAAAATTGGAGCTAAATTTTATTTGTTGTGTCAAATTATTATTTCCTATTTTTCTCTCAATATTTGCTTGAAGGTATCAATTATGAATAATATCCTTTCTCTTTTATGCTTAGATTTTGGCTTTCTCTTCACCCAGAGGTTTTATAGTCAATACTTGTTATTCATGATAGTTACATTTATAGGCCACAGTGCATTGAATTAGTGAATATTGAAACATTGTTGTTAGTGGAAGTAAAGGGTTATGTACCTGCAAGCCTCTGGTCACAACATTTTCATTAAACAATGGATGTATAACCTTGTTTTATGTGTGTTTTTATTAAAAGACACCTTGTTCAACATATATTATTGATTTATGGGCACTGAACTCACGGTCAACAGCACTATAACTCATGTGTGAATGAGGTTTACTCATTGTGATATAAAAGTGTTGGCATGATAGAAAGAACAGAATGGACACTTATAGGGGCTTATTAGAAATCCTATTACAAAGCTTTGTTTCTTTTTAAGTATCAAGCAGACCTTCCATTTCATATAGGTGACCTTCATGAAATTCAAAGAGATTTGAGAAAGGAATGGAGAAGGAGAGAAGCAGAAAGCAGCCAAATCAGATCATAGTTTTATAGGAAGAACTAACCATACATTGAATTTAGTGCTTGTTAGCCTGACAGAAGTCCATTTACTCTCCAAGTCTTCTGGAACATT